TTTGAAGAAGAAAAATGAATCAGTACTACACTACATATGTTGTAAATATTTTCGTATTTTAACCTTTTTTCTTGTCTGGGTGAACAAATTGTTCACTGTGATCAGTATCTATGTTTGTTTATTCTTCAGATGAAAATTTAATAAATTAATCTTGGGTCATCGGTATAGAAAAGCTCTTAATGATTTCACATTTCGTAAATTCCAGAAGTCAGAAACTGTCTCATTTCTAGTTCATGGTATCGACGTGTTTTCGTATCAATCAAATTATGTTGTTGAACGTCACATTAGGTTCAAATATCGTAAGTTCAAAGTTTAGAGATGTAATAGTATGTCTCCGACTTCTTTGTCGGTTGTTATTAATACTTAAACTGATTGCATTCATCCAGTTTAGGTTCACTACCAGTCTTATCTATGACTGTCAACGAGTGTGTCTACGTACTGAACACTTTGTTGATACTGATGTCAACAAAAAAGATTCAAAAGATTGATTGAAGGAAATATCCAAGGGGTTGTAGTTTTGGATGTTGCGGATATTTCAACGGAGGATGTTTCAACGAAACATTTCTGAAAAAACCTTTAGCGCGAAAACCATGCGTTATTGCAGAAAAGTGATTATAGAACAAGAAAGCAGGCGAAAAACTGAGTCAGATCCATTTGCTGTTCTATCATTTATAATTTTTTAAAACAAAAGTATACCAAGATGTTATCTCTTTTGGAATGCATGCATAAGTAATTCATCTCTTTTCTGGGTAGCCTGTGAAGCAGTTCTTCACAGTCTGCTCAATAAGCATGTTCCATTCTTGTTCAATGTTATCGATAGTAAATAAGAAAACAAAATCGAAGACAGTTAACATTTTTTGGTGTCTTTTCAGCATCAGGAATCGAAGAGTTCTATGATTTTTCTCCGCTAGAATAGAAGAGCGGCGCCATAATTGCAGTAAATATGGTAACAGTATACACGCAAAATACTATGATGATTTGCAGATTCTCTTTTGCGAATGTACGATCGTTCAACCGATAACAATGTACTAAACATTTTGCATGAAAATGATTATCTTATTAGCAAAATCTGTAAATTTGCTTGTAATATGTGCAAGAAAGACAGAAGGTGAGTTTCAAGGTTCATTAAATTCTTCGAGTCAGGAACTCAGTCTGGACACACTGTCTTATAACCTGGATGAAATCTATGAGTGTCCGAATGTTACTTGCCAAACAATGTCCAAATCGTTACTAAATTTTGCTATTATACAGATATGTGAAGATAGATGAAGACTGATACATTAACAGACATGTTGCTATATAATATCTTCAGTAAAGATTTACAGGAGAGAGGTAAGAATACTAATAAAACAACTTATCGTGCGAACAATTCTCTAACTATGTTAATGAAAACCGATGCGACAATTAGTTTTAAACAGATTCCACCATACATAGTCAAGCTATTCCAACATCTGTTATCATGTAAAAATGTAACTAATAATCTTGTAGTTTTATTGCTTAGAATTATGGTACAGTATCTGTGTATGGTAATTTAAGGGATCAGTCAAATATCGGTCGCTCAAACGTTGGTCTTTCCTTATTTCTTCATGTGTTTTGGAATTTGTCGGATTCTGTTTTGACTAGAATAAACATATATCTAATAATTTTGTGTATTATGTATTAGTGGTTCAATTCAATACGAGTACTCTACGATTTTCATTTACTTTCATTTTACTTTCATTTACATCGATGTGACACCAGCTGCTTCGTTGGTGTTTCCAGCAACAAGTGTCCAACTACTCCCTGGAGAGGCAACAAGGAATAAAAAATGTCGTTTAACGGAACTTTGTTAATAACAAAAAAGTATTACGTTTCGATGTAAGTTACACATTTCTCTTCCTTCATCTTTTTTCTTTCCTTTCCTATCCTTGCTTTTCACTTTTCATTTCTTCTCCCTTTTTCGCCCTCTTCTCTCGCATGTTTTTCTTCTCGCATCCGATCGAATGACTTGAAAATGTTCAGAATAGCGTGTTAATAGTTACCATCACCATCTCTCTCTTCTCTCCTCTCTGTGTGATAGTATGATTCATACCCGTTAATTGTAAGCACACCTGAGTGTGACAACAACACGGCGAAATGCACTGATCCTTGATACAATGAAACATAATAGCAGAAAGAAGAACGAATAGTCCAAGAAACAAACGGGTGAGCCACGACTTTTAAAGGGATAGAAAAAGAAAAATCGAAACGCACACATACATGCACGCATACTTTATTTTCATTTGCGTTGGTTAACTTTAGACGAAAGGTTCGTTGACTTGTTTTGTTTTGCTTAATAAAGTAAAAGTTATTTTGGAAGGAAAAATTACACCTTAGAAACATGTAAGAGAATGATTTCCACTCGGCCTGAACCAAAAGACTGGGACACATAAGAAGTTATACGGTTGATTCCTGGATTTTCCAAAATCATATGTAAAATTTAATACTGAATCACTCCGTATTAATTTCAAGTCGATTCGAGGACGTCTAGGGTCACTTTGACCAAAAAGAATAAACCTTCATTTATTCTTGTCGCTACCGTGAGGGTGTCAGGCCGACATCGCCTTCATTTCGGATTGGGCTCATCGGAAAGACCATTAAATCCGACATCGATTCGTATACGACCGACACCATGAAGTGAATTCATCAGCGTCTCCTGCTACCTACTTTATGGTGAATAGTTTGACTGATAATTCCATTTGTCATTTGAGTTACAGGTCAATACTTTAATTCCGTATTTTTATTTAAACATAACAAAACAAACGTTTCGACCTCTTTTATTGAGGTCTTCTTCAGTGAACGTAATAAAATATATGTAAAAATAGTTAAAATTCTGTTATATATCTCGCTGCCCACTGGAATTTTAACATTTTAGTATGACTGCTTAAACCTTTCCTGTATTGTTACTCATCTATTTTTATTTTATTTTCCCTTTTTCTTTTTCTTTTGTTTGCCTTTTACACGATCTATTCAGAACCAAGATGTACTTATTAGTACGAAAATTGAAGATACCCCAAGCGAAATAAAAAACATACATAAAATATTTACAAACACAAGGTTTCTTTGTATTATATATTTATCTATCGACGGATCATCTCAGGCAGTTTGATATTAGAAAGAGAATTGTACAAGGCTAAAGTTATTGTTTAGTCATACATTATAATATAATAACGTAAACTATAGCTCGTATTCTGATATCTATACGTTATGTTGTGACTAGTGGTAGTGCTACTTATAGTTTGTACAGACTTAACTGGATCGTCTACTGCCAGGTAAAAGTTCTTTCTCGTCCTGGGTTTGATTCACTTTGTGATACTAGACTTCCACTGCGGGCTTATCCTTTTACATTTATTATAACCCTTATTGGCAATAGTGTAGACGGTTTCCAGTTTCTTTTTTCTTGCCCAGTGCTTTTCTTTATCAGATATAACGGAGTTGTGTTGCTTGTCGTGTCTCAACTCTGTCTTTCTCGAAGGAAACCGCCTGACGAGACTCTTGAGAAAGGTCGAAACCGGTTGTGGTATCTTCTTCTGATTCTTTCAGAGAACCTGATCACTACGTGTCAGTTCTGTGGGTCACTAGAACAAAGTGATCCACAGAAAAGCAAAGATTTTGACCTCATATATAATTATGTCACCAATCCAGTAACATACCGATCCAGCGTGTGACGCACTGCTGGCGAATCTGGAGGACATTCTCATCTTTCTTCCACTTTTCTCATTAGATAACTCTTCCCAAAACCTACAACCTCATCAACATTTTCGATGCAAAGAATGTAGATTAAGAGAGAGTCCAGCATTGTCCGTTGACGATGTTCCTACTATGAACACTTTTGACATTTAACTTTTATTGTTGGAAACGAAGAGCATGATAAAAAAGCCGATGTATAAAACTGTTTAATATTTTCTATGTTGTCCTTCAACAGTTATGAAGGAAACACTGAACGCGTGTCACGAGATGCTCTGAAAAATGAAGTTTTGTTCGGTCCCGGGAAAACGTTCCACATTTTCCTTGAAAATATTTAATGAATTATTTCTAGCAATATGTCAGAAGATAAAACGAAGTTTGCTCTATGAAACTGCATATTCAATCTTGTATTCTAGCTTGCGTATGAATTGTGAGACTCGAAGAACAAAACTGGAAGCAGCCTCTTTTGCATGCTTTTTTCCATAACTTCAAGACTATCGGATCTGCCCAGAGATTTATTACCGTTTGCGGATAGAGCAGACCAAGGACTACAAGATGTACATAAAATTTTCCATTTTTGATCTTGAACAGGAACTGATTTTTCTCCTGCAAGATGACTGTTAAACTGTAAAACGCCCCGTGTTCGTTATTTCTTGTTCTTTTCTAGTCAAAAGTTAAATCTGATACCAGATTCGTGCTTAGTGTTGAAAATGAAAATGACGTGAATACGCTACGTAAAACTGCGATTTTTAGCAATCAAACACGTAGTTTCATAGAGCTCATCAATGGTTACAAAACGGGCTATTTGACTTTTAATTTTGAGTGAGTTAAGATGGCAAAAGTGGCTTTTTGATTAGGATGCACCATGAACCCATGAATGTCTCAAAAGTGCAATATGCAAATATCTCTAAAATATCGTCTGTTGATTCTCAAAATTTTACCATGAACACAATTTTCCTTCAGGTTCGCCACGAATGTAGGACTAGTCTGGGAGACTTTTAACGGGATACTGAGTTATACAAGGAATCAAAGCCTCATCAAATGAGTTTCGAGCTGACATCGCATCCCCATCCATTTTCCTCGCAGGATCGACACGTAATGGTCAGATCGACCGAAGATGATCGTCAGCTTTTACAACGGACATGTGATTACCAACGAGGAAAATGCCTTCTATTTTTAAAATGTGCTTGTTTGTGTATATTCCAGAATTCCTTTCGGCGACACTGTAATAACCTGTTCATAGCGCGTTTTAATTTCGCTTTTTGAATTGTTGTTATCGTCGAGCGGGTGGGAAAATGGGTCAACATTTGTCCACAATTAATTTGAAAAGTGTTGATTTGACTAAAACGGATGACACCGCACTCAGTTCCGATGCGATTGTATCCGACAGTGGTATAGAAGATATTAATTTTTTTTTATGTGAGAAAACACTTGCTGGTAAGACGACAGGTCTAATTGAATCCGATCATGCTTATCCAATTTTGAACCCTGAAGCATTGATAAAACAGATTCAAAATCATCTATCTCTCTTAACAAAGCCAGCCAGACTGAACGAAATCAACACTCAAATGAACGAGATACTCATGGAAAACGTTCTTATGCCCATTGCTAGCTATTACGGAGGAGCAATGAAAGAAATTAAAGCTATTTTGCAAAAACAACAACAACTACAAATATCTTTAGTGGTAAAATTGAACGAGGATAAAAATGCCAGTCGATCCATTTTTGAGCAACCATTTGCCAATTTGACTTCAGGAAACACAAATACTTTGTCTGCCGAGGCTGAGTCCGATTACGATGGTGACCAGGAATCAAAAGTTGCCACACAGCAGCAACGAAAAGTTGAATTTCAAGCTCAGCAATTATCTTATTTTGCCATACGATCGTTAACATCGATGTTGTTAATTCTAATCAAATCAGCACAAAAAAATGATCCAACAATTGTTCATCAAATACTGGAATTAACAAGTGAATTGTGCGAACAACTTCCGATGAAATGTTTGTCACCATCTGAATTATCACCGGCTAGTAGCAGCTTCTTGTTCAAATCATTGAAACCATTGACAAATTACATTAATGATTTATCCTCGACAAAAGATCTGATTATAGCAAAACAAGCTGCAATAATTCTATTGAGTTTTTCAATTGCAAAAGCCTCATTCAAAGACATTTTACCCATACTGAGCAAACTGATATTCAATACAGTTGATATTTACAATGCACAAGGTCTATTCTTACAACTCAATAATGGTCTGACAGTAGCTATCAATGAACGGAAAAAACAAAAAGAGCAGCTATCCAACGAAAAAGTAAGTGATTCCGATTTCCAGTCTGATTCAAATCCTGATTGTAAACAAGACAAAGACGATGGCACAACGTCGAAAGAAACCACAGGTTAGAACACCTTTCATCCACTAACATATTTCGATAGGAACCATTGAATTTAAGAAAGAGTCAGTGAGAATACCGACGAAGCCGGTCGGAGAACCATCTTTGAGTTTCGATTTGACTATATGAAAAGAAAGACCATTCTGTGATAGTACTAAACTGAAAATATCAGCTTGATCCGTTGCGCCCATGGATAAAGCCTGATAGGTTTGCAAAATAAGTTGTCGTCTTTTATGTTGTGTAGGTCTTGGAATCCTTCTTCTGATCATGATATGGATGAAGAAGCTCCAAATAACATTTCTAGGCTGGCTTTCATGTACTGAATCAGACAAAATAAGTTCGAAAGTTTCGAAACTGAAATTTGACAAAAATAATCGAATTTTTCATGACGATACGGCTTTTTCAAACTGTGAGTCCTTCCCTATTTTGCAAATTTTCCAATCAAAACAGGATCTGGGACAACCAAAACTAAGATAGTCGAATTCTGTCAAATGATATATAAATAAGCCTAAAATAAAATAGTAGTTAAACTTCGAATTAGCAGCGCCTTTTTCTTTTTATTTATCGCTACACAGACTTAAATTTCTTTTTGAAGATTCGGCGTTCAACTCTCTACAAAATTCCATATTTTCTCTTTCATCTACTTGTAGTACTTAGTTTTAAGGTAGTGAAGATTCCAGATCTTCTATTAATCGCTTCATGGAAGTCACAACCTCACCCCCGTAAAGTTGCTCAATCGACTACTGCGGATTTGACTGGTTTGCACACATGCTATAGACGCAACAGTTCGATAAATATTCATGGAAATTGACTGAAAGAATATTGCTCACTTGCCGAAATATTTATTTCACCTTTATTGAGAGTCCCACTGAAAATAAACACTAATCACGCTATTTTGCCCAAACTGTATCTCAACAAGGAAACATCCATTTCGCTTGAAATGTTTACCATAAGTTTTTTTTTTACCAACTGCTCAGATAGTTCTAGAAAAAACTTGGCTCAAACGGATCAGTCACTATATACGTTCACCGCATTCAAACTGTCTCTCTACAGTCAAAGTTCATGTACTTCGATGAATTCGAGAAAAGACTTGGCAATGTTTCAATTTTGCTGTTCTTATTTTTGAGTGTCGCTGTTTACAGACGGTAAGATTCGTTTTTGAGAGACGCAAGCAGCAGCAGCAACTTTATCAAACTTGAATATACACAGAATAAAGGTTCTGACAAAATAAAAGTCCTGCATCTTCTCAGATCACCCAAAACCTGAATATACCTTCAGATTTTGGAAGCGAAACAATTAGCGGGAAGATAAAGAGTTAATTAGAGCTGTTTGGTGCCAAATTCGTTTCTTTTTTGCGCTTGAGTCTGTTTCTCTCACATTTGGTGGGACGATTTTAATTAGAGCTTTTTCTCAAGCACTCATGCAAGAAACTGCACGTTTTTGAATTAGTTTTGTGAGAAAGAATATGTTCGAATAACTGCAGCCGACCCGTTTTTTCAAAAACTCCGGTTTTTGCCTGTAGCCACGTAAACTTCAAATTCGCATAATTCACTCACTGCTCATTCGAAATGAGCGAAGTTTTCAGCAAATATGAGCAATGGAGTGCATTATATTTTAAAACGGATGGTAGTTAAGGCCCCCTCCTCAGAATTAAATCTTTTTGTATCAAAAAATCAATTTGGAAACAAGCACATGAAAAGACGGCCTTGGGTGTCTGTTTTCACAATCTGTATTGCCTGCGAGACTGGAACTAGTTTTTCATGGTTTTTGAGCAAGATTTCTAGAAGCCTTGAAAACTAAACTAAGGTCTTCCAATAATTCCTTTTTTCTGAACATGTAGATTTGTACAATAGACTTTTCTGATCGAAATAAGACGTTGCACAGCTCTGTGTGATCTTGTGCTCAAAAATTACAAGCATTTTCTTGCATGTCCTAAAATAGACCAACGAACCCATAGCGTCAGTCTTTTTCTGTTTTGATGAAAGAATCTTCTTTTCTGGATCGACTTGAACATTACTGGCAAAGCTTGTTTCCGACATTATGTACAAACGCAGGCGGATACAGTTTTAGGGCAAACTTTGATTCAACGGGGTTTTTGAACGACGAGAATTCAAACAGTATAATGAGAATATTTCCCCGAGCTACGTCAAAAGAGATACACTTCGGTTATTGAAAAATGGATGCTGTTTCTGCATCTAAGGTATTCTGCTACTGTCTCTGAGCCTACAAAGGCGCTTGATCGACATCAATTAGTTGTGTTGCCCATGTATCCAGGGCAGTTTTTAACCTAGTGCATTTGTACAACCAAGGAACAACCGTACAGTCTATCTCTGTTGTTGTTTGACCTGAATTCTTTTGCAAATAAAATAAATATTTCTTGTTGTTATTATTGTCACGTTCAACTTTAACCAGCATGTAATGAGCCAGCTCGATTTGTGGCAAAATAAAAAGTTTAGATTAAATGTAGAAAGTGAGATAATTATTCTTTCTTTATACAGAGAGAAAAGTCGTCTTCCTCTATTTCTGTGATTACTATACTCCACGAGAAAACGTCCACAGAAAAAACGACACAGAAACAATTTCAAAAAGTTGAACAGGCGAGGGAAGAGAATAATTTGCAGGACGTTTCGGAGGATATGTCTTCAAAAAGGAGGAGGTAAAAGACGTTATATTTTGCCGCAAAAATAGTAGTGTGAAATTTCTGGCATACCAGTTCTTTTTATTTAAAGCAGGATAATCATGAACTGACTCGGCATGACATACGAAGTATTTGGTTACGTTTTCTGGCAGTTTTTGCAGAAAACGTTACCATAGATTTCTTCCCACTCCACCCATAATAGAAGATCCTCTGAAAAGCTAGTACGCTTCGAAGACCCAGAGCTTTCTATTAGGTCGAAGCGTACATATGTCGAAAATAATGATAATTTAAAAACTTTATGTAAAAGTCTGTGGTACTTCGAAGTGATCCTTTGTCGATCTGTATCTGATAAATAAAAAAAAATCGCGAAAAGCCATCAGGAATATGAAAATGAAAATGCATAAAATAACGACGACGTAGTATCAGAGGAAAATTCGGAAAACGCGCAATTTCGTTAAATTAATACTCTTGCCATGTTAATGTCTTGCATGTTTTCAATTTTGAGAATAAGTGCGTTGCTAGATCGATAACATGTCTTGCTACACTTTTCTGAAAAATGACCCGGAGTCTGTAGCCGAATCCGGTCTGAGTTCGTTTCGGGAACCAACATTAGTATTTCTCACCATGCTTTTAAAGTGGTATTTTAAGTGGGTGCTTGAGTTTGATATATACGTAGCTCAATTCTTTTGACTGCATTCCTCTACTGAGTCCTGTACTTGAAAATGTTCAGCACCTATTGTGGAACCTGCTGTGCCCAGTGGAGCATCTATTGGAAACTGCTGTAGTTGAATATCATTCACAAAAAAATGTTTTTAGACGAGATCTCACCGATTCCATTGGATTATCTGAAATCGATTGAAGCATTTCCAAGCACACAGTTGATGGAATTAGATGAGAAACAGTTCACTGGACAGTTCATCTCGTCCACTATTTTGGCACACATCGATTTTCACAATGAAATCAATTCAATCGAACAACTCAAAAGTGGTTCACTCAACGGTTCAATTTCATTCGACTTTCATCCGAATACATTCCAACAACTGTTTCACATTATCGAACAGCTGGCCACAAGGAAAACACAAGACTCGAACACAGTCATCCTTCACATGTTAACCGTTTGTTTAAGATTATTTACCACACATTTGAAATTTTTATGCATTGTCAAATCAAATGTTGAAAGAGATTTATTAAAAACAAACGACGAAATAAGAAAATTTGTTCGTGCTTTATTCTCTCAATCAGATAGTAGCATCGATTTAAAGGCGTTTGCAACTGACGATGAATTAAGAAAATGGTTTGAATTATTATTGACATTGGCTTGTGATGGCGATGAAAAATCGGACGAGTCAATAATATGCAAAGAAGCATCGAAAGCTCTTGTTTACGTCATCGACCAAAAGACATCGTCATTCGCCGAAAAATTATCTTTTATCCATAAATATATCGTCGAAAATAAACATCCTGTATTAATCGAACAATTATTTATAGAACTGAATAAAAAAGTAACATTACTAAGCTGGATTGAAGTTCTGTGCGACGACGATGATAGCAAGCCAGATAAAACAACGGCGTATAAAATATTGTATTCATTCATCGATATTTGCTTGGATCCACTGAGTGATATTCAAGAAGAACAGAAACAGAAAATACAACAAGTACTATTGTTGTTTCAGCAGTTATTAATATTTCGATTAGTACCACTATCTCAAAAGAAAACAATGCGAGGTGTAATGACTGATGATGGTACAACCGATGAAGCTGAATCATCTGCTGCTACTTCTATCTCTACGTCTTCATCTGCTCTTGTAGTTAACTATGCTACTCACATACTAAGTAATTGTCTGGGAAAAGTAGCGTTCGCTAGCGATTTATTTCACCCAATTCTTGTCGGTTTGGGCCTGATGACAAAAGCAGAAGAAATCTTCCACTTCGCCACAATTCAACCGATATTCTCAGCTGTTTTGCCATTATTGACAGAATATCTGCTGCAAAATACAACTAGTGAAGACATACAAAATAATCTGCATTACATTTCTTGGCTAATAGGCAAAATGAGTAATGTTCTAATTGCTGGTCCACAACAGGATCCGTTAGAGATGAAGCATGTCGATAAATTGAAGTCATTTCTATTTGCCGGTGGATATGACAGAATAACAAATGAAAAGAGTAAATATCTGTTGAATTTATTCGAGTCCAATTTGGCTGTTTACAGTAATTTTAAACTGGCTAGTCTAAATGAACAACCATCGTTACACAATGAGTTTTTAATGTCAATTTATAACAATATTGATCAGGGTGCACAACTGGTATCGAAAATGAAGATGTATGTCAAAAATAAACGTTTACTACAAAAATCGATTGAACAACAAGCAAATGATGCCTGTGCCGCTGTATTTGCTGTCTACGTTAAGCATTATCGTCGAATTAATCTGGCCAAATATGAACTATCCCAAACAGCTGATAGGAGACCACACAGTAAGCTTTTAGCCATTTATGAAAATGCCAATCACGTTCAAACATTGTTTGCTACAACAAAAGCGCAAGGTGGCGATTGCAATGAACTTTACAAACAGATTAAAATCAATACACTATTTCTATTATCATCCGTTAAAGAAAGCAATTTTATTCCGATGATCAAAGAAGATTTCCCACAATCAGCAGCAAGTACACAGCTAGTGTCAAGTATACAACAAGAAAAAGTATCAAAACTACAACGACATGGTTCACGGTGGTCAACAGCGAAATATATTTTTCGATTGCTTCAAAATACAATGCAAGTTTGTATTCGATTAAAAAAATTGATGTTGGCAAAGAAACAAGCCGTCGAACGAAAACAAGATAATGAAAGTGTGTTAAATCGAGCAATCGATGCTTTTGTTTATGGAGATTTTTACAATCTGACAGCATCCATATCAAGTGAAGAAAAGAAATTGGAATCGGACGAAATCGTTCAGTGCATGTTGCGACAGTATGAGCGAGCAATGACAAGACTAATTACATATGGATTTATTCATACATTTATTCAGAAAGTGTTAAATATCAAAGACGAAAATCGAACTATGACAATTCTAGCTGTTTATTTACCATATTTGAGAAATACGGATGTGGAATGGTCCTATTTGGAAAATATTCAAGCGTCAGACGATGAGTTGAAAAACGAAATCGGAAATAGCTATTATTCAATCATCAAAATTGTTCTATCCTATTTATTACGATCAGTAGCATTCGAGCAAAAGATGTTAGTGCGAAATATGTTCAATTTACTTAATTTATCCTATGAATCAATCGATATTTACCATCTGTATCATTATCAATTTGTTGAAATACTATTTACATCGTTTGTCAGTTTTGTTGAAAAACCAGATCGCGTCATTTCGCTAGATATCAAATTAATCGGATACAATTGGTTTCGATTGTTTGTGTTAAAACTGTGCCAAACCATTGAAATGGAAGAACTGAGAGGTACAACTAATCAAATATTACAAAAACAACGAGACTTTGTCTTTAACACACTGATTTTAAACGAACTGAAAGGATTGAAACGATTGAAACAAAAGTTGTCAGTTGATACAGACAACAGAGCTACTGATTCTGCAGAATGCAAAAATAATTCTTTGAATAATGCGACCATCGGCTGGTTTGTTAAAGCAGCATTAACAACAGCGAAGGATGATGCATCAACAATTTCAAAGCATCTATCATCGAAAACTGAACTTGAACTCTGTACAAATCAATTCTTGGTTCTTCTCCTTAGATGTGTTCATGTGTATGAACATGTTCGATCAGTTTGTGCAACTGTTGATTACGTTGAAGAATTATTGTACGTGTATCGAAACAGTGACAATAGTGCTACTCTCTTATTTGCATTGAAAAACTTACGCAAATTAATTTCTTTATTACCGGAAAATATGAACGGAACGCCAAGTATTATTGTTAAGGACCTATTAACCGAAGTTTTATTTTCGATTAGTTCACAAAAAACTGCGCCCGGCACAGTTACCGAATTAATCTACATTTATCGAACAATAATGTCGCTTGATTCACCATGGCAAATGATGGCAACTCAATTGGTTTTTGATACCGTTACATCAAGTGTGAACAACTTCAATCTGAAATCACTTGAAACCGTTGACACAAATCAAATGAACTACTTTTTAGCATCATTATGTGTATTGGGTGGATATGTTCAGCCCTATTGTTCGGGATCAATCGTGAAAATCTATACCGATGACGAAATCAGCAATGAATTCCAACTGGCGTTAATCACCGAAGTTGATACGAATGCTCGTGATATGGGCACACCTGATACATTGCCCTATTTTGTTCAATATTCACATACAAATAAGACTGAATCAGTTGCGGCCGATAAATTACGAATTGAAATTGATGTTTCACCACCAAATCTACTATTGTTACCAAGTGTTAATGATCCAAAAGTAACCATACATTCAATTCTCGATGCATTGGGATATTTCATACAAATTGATACATCGACAACAGATTCTTTAATGATATTACAACTGAAACGCCGTTCCGTCGCAGCATTGCATCAAATATTAAATAATAAAAAACTCGTCGAAATGTTCATGCAGAAACCATATGGATCCGCCATTGCACAACTGTGCATATCTGATTCGTCATTAAAAGACCACGTACGACCTGCTGATTTACGTCTGTTCAATAAATATCATTTGGAACAATACTGTTCAAGTTTAGACATATGTGAACGATCGAAACAAATAGTGGAGAATGATGATGATGATGATAACAATGAAATTTATCATGATGCAATAGCTGCAAACGATAAAGATGATTCTTCATATTTTGATTTATTAACAAGCATATCGAAATATAACGGATGGAAACCAAATGCATCAAAACAAGAAATTGAATTGTTTAAACAGGGTCGAGTTGGAAATGATGAAGTTTCCATTGTTCCAAAACCGCGCCATGTCGTCAACACACGTGTATTAGAAGAATGCGGTACTAAGCATAGATTTAAGGGGCGAATTTATCTGCCGGCGGACAGCACAAATGCTAGATTTCTAACGTTTATTGTTGATAATCTACAATTGAGCAAGGGTAAATGGTACTATTGTGTTAAAGTGCCCGAAGATTGTAATATTCAAATCGGGTGGGCAACAACCGGATTCGCTCCCAGTGATAGTATCGGAGTAGGCAGTGATAAATATTCATGGTCTTACGATGGATCACAAGTTTCTCTCTTCCATCTACAACAACAAGCTACGTTTCCGTCTTCAGAACTGCGTTGGAAAGAAAACGATGTTTGCGGTTGTGGAATTGAAATCGATGGTGAAAAAACTCGAATAAAATATTGGCTAAATGGACAATTTTTAGGTACAGCCTTTTCACATCAGTCGACTTTTGGATCAACAACAACAAAATGTGATATGTTACCAAATGGACCGGATTCAACCTATTTTCCGAGTGTCACTTTACAATGGACTTCTTATCGGGCGAATTGGTGTGAATTCATATTTAGTCCAGAAGATATGGCCGATTGTCCGTTACCAAACGATTACAAGCCGTTATTGATGCCAAAATTAGCAAATATTGACACCATTGTCGCTTATCCGCACAATGCCTATTTAGTCGGTGATGATATTCAAAATTGGTTCTATACACCACGAAACATAACTTCGACGGTATTTCTACGTGATTTCATCAACGAATATCATCTCGAAACCAGATTCGTCTTAGATGACCATCAGCTAATATTACCGGAAAATAGCGGTGGTTTTTCGTTTTCGATAGACGATTGCGCATCATCATTAACAATTAGCTTTGATTTTAAAATAATAACAACAGGTGAAAATGATACAGTTGAGAAACTCGATATTCTTCTATTCACAGTGGAAACGACAGAAGTGTTTCCAATACAAATAACATTGAATAAAACTGCCGATAAAACACGAACTGCGATCATATATCATCCGAAAGAACGACAGACAAAAATCTACATCAACAATGAGTGTCAAACATTCAATGGTGGCTTTAAAAGTGGAACTATGACGAAAATAAACTTTCATATTTTATCCAATACTGCTTCTGGAATTCAAAATTTAGCTATCTGGAAATATGCTCTTTCAGAAGAACATATTCAACGTCTATTCACTTACGGCCTATCCTATGTGGCAGTTGATTATCAGCAGCTAAAAGAACATCGAAGACAGGCGAACACATTCACATTCGTTAAAAACCAACAACAATTTGCAAGTGAATTACTTGTTCCATTTAATGAACCATTCGATAAGAACTTATGGGAGAGAAAGAAAAAACACACCGATAGTGATGAATCGAAATATTTCAAACCCATAAGTGGAACCGACGAATCAGTCATACAATTATTTGGAAACAAGAGTTATCTTGTTCTGAACAAATTAACCGAACGATGGTCAGAATATACACTTGTTCTTGATATTTCCGTACCCAATTTTCCTACTCTCAACGAACAATTGACCCTAGTGACGTGGAATCAAGAATCAGAAATTTACATCACACCCGATGGTAAACTTTGTCTGTTCGATGATGGAACGAGCAACAAAAGTGAATCACTATTGAAGTTGAATGAATATCTGCGATTGCTTATTTCTGTTCAAAAGAGATTCATCAAAATCTATGTGAGTGGATTATTAGAGGTCGATGTTAGTCTCATTGATAATAATCCGTTTACAGCAAAAGCCGATCGAATTGATCTGTTCAGAGAAACAGATTTGACAAAGAACAAGACCAGTGAAGAAGCACTTCGAATTGAATGTAAATCGATTACATTTCGAAACCGAGCGACCGTTGATATAATTGAACAAATGAAATCACCGAAATTATCGTTAGAAACATTGGTTATGCCACCCTTTTCGGTGGTTGCATCAAGTTTAATTTCAATTGGATACAAGAAAGCATGGATAAAATCCGTTATGAAACAATATAATACAGCACACATTCAGTTGATTGATACAATTATACGCGAACAGAAAGAAGAACTGTTAAAAGCAGATCTTCTGAGAAGAAGAAAACGTAATTTAAATATTTTGTCGAGATTAGGTCCATCGATCGATAAAGAAAAATTGGAAGATTTGATCAAGTTTTCGAAATTCGATACCGACGAAGAAGTGGCAGCTGTTGGTGAACTCATGTTAGTACATTGGAACGATTTACAAACATCAAAACCTTTAACCGACATAACTGAAACGACAGAAGATGACGATGATTCGGATGAAGATGACAAGGCGTTGTTGGAACACAAATGGTATCGTCAAGCTGTTCGTGGCTTAGGTATCCATGATAGCTTGACGGAATGGATCCGAGATAAATTAACGACGACGGAAGAAGCAGATCTCACTTATAGATTACTTGACTTAAGTAAACCTGACGTAGAGCAAACGATGATGAGAACTGCAATTGGAAGTCACAGGAAAACAATCAAGAAATCAGTTCAATATTCGCATCGACAAATATCACGAAAACAATTTTTGGACTCACGTATTGCCTGTGAACACGGGTTGACATCGATATATGCACGTGACACTGTTTTGAACATGTTGAAAGTCTGGTCAAACGATGGCCCAAATTTATTTCCGTTGGAAAGATTTGGTAATTTCGAATTTATTGTTACATTATTGCGATTAATGGCTTACCATTACAGGTATGCGAGCTCTCCTACGGATGAAAATGTTGACAGAATGTGGTTGTTAACAAATTCGATTCTTAAGGCCGAAACAAGAGAATTACTCAAATACATGGCTACGCACAGTGAAATTACTGTCGAAATACTGCAGAGCCAAGCTCCGTTACTCTATCAACTGCAAAAGGATGTTATGGTTCAAGCTATTGGATTTTTATTGAAACCATTGTTACTATTCTACAATTATGATGATGAAACAACAATCATTGACGAACGGATAACGATAAAACAACCGAATTTGAGTTTTATTTTCAAAATAGTAGATATATTCGTGGAATTGGTAACAGATAAATCGACGATGAAAGAACATGAAATCATTTCGATTATTCCATTTCTATTTCCTGCGGCTTTAATCAATCTGATGTTCGATTTATTTTTGTTAGTTCCAACGCATCAATCGAAAATATTCCTTCTGCGTCTATTTGCCACGTAAGTAAGCAAGTTGACGCATTATTCTAGTTTTTAACCATTAGATATATGCCATTCCACATTCCAGTTTGGTACCTAGAGCTCTATCTAAACTCATTGAACGAATTTTCTAATTGCTTTGCCCAAAATGCTGATAGTTTCCGACGGAGTAAAAGGAAAAAGTGGAAGGTGAGTGGTGGGGGGACATTATCCTAGGTTTCCAGGCGGCAGCCAAGATCAGTTTTATTATACAAAGGAATGAAACAGTACCGGCTGATATTTTGAATTTTGGAGATCAACAGGAATCCAGAGGACACTAGGAATTGAAGGAATACCATGATTCTTGGTATTCTATGGGTGAACGTGCTCTGGTGTCCTTCGGATTCTTGTTCCTGTTTGTGTCCATCCGCTATCTAGAAAATCAGTCACATCTCACATTTTGAAAAGTCATAAAAGGTCAATCACTTAAGAGCATCATCTTTAAAAGAATATCTCAGCCGACAGTCAAACGCTCTTGAGTTGCGGTTCAGCCAAAGACGCGAAGAGAGGGCTTCATCTCGTTGATTGGTTTGCTAGGGCTTAGTTGAGTTAGCAGACGCTCTTTGAGGATGCGTCAGCGTCACGCGCTCTTATTCGTCAACGTTCAAATCTGTCCTCTGCCGTTTGTCGTTTGCATCTTATCAAGTCGGTAGTACTAGCTGTAGTATCGGCATTCTCTCTCTAAAAAAAGGCTCCATACTAAACCATTAAGGTTTGGTGTATTGCTTCGAAACTTTTAATGGTTTTGTAGCGAAATTTCGAAATTCAGAGGGTTTGTTAGATGGTACGAAACCTCAAAACAGAATTTTTTTCTACAAGATTTTGTACAGAGTATACGAAACCGGCGGAGTGGTTTAGTAGCATTAAAGGTTTAGTAGAAATTTCACAAAACCTTACGAGCTTCGTATCGCATTAAACACTTCTTCGATGAAAGAAGAATATGTTGAAAAACCAATAAACAACTAGTAGCAGATATTTATTAGTCTTA